ATCTGTGGATTGTGCTGTAGACAGATGGAGGGCAAGAACAAGGCAGGGCGGGGGGAAGATACAGACTTTGACAGCATCCAATTCCTGCTATTGCTTTTGTTCCCACATAAGGGGGGTCTTTGAAAACATCTTCCTTCCTGGTGGGTTGGGGTGGAAATCTAGAGGCCAAAGGACCTGAGCCTCTGCTTTACCTCCCCTCCTCCCATTGTACCCCCTCTCCTCCCTCCCCAGCCCTCTTCCAGAATCCCTATTGTTACCCTGGAAGAAGAGCTGCTGCAGGCCTTCCACAACTGCTGTGTCTGGGTGGGGGAATCCTCCCTTGGATATGCCCCTCCTGACAGCTATTTCCATGACCTCACTGGGGGTACCTGGGACACCCTCTGTGGGAGCACAGGATTACTCTGTTAATACGCAAAACAGATTCTGTGCACATGCTGTACTTCTGTTGCTTGCTTCTGAAATTCTGGTAGACCCAAGCTGTTGAATCTATCTTTGGAGTTTGTAATTTGACTGAACTTTCATACAAACCACATTACAGTGGTACCATGGCTCATGAACTTAATCCGTTCCAGGACTCTGACCCAAATTGGTCGTGAGCCAAGTTAAATTTCCCCATAAAGTTCAATGTAAATAAGGTTAATCCATTCTGTAACCATTTTTTTAAATAAGAAAAATGTGAAGCAAAGTGACAAAGAACAACAAAGATCACGGCCATCTCCCCACCCACATCCCGACCACAAGCGCAGCCATCTCCCCGCCCCGCCCCCAGCACAACTGAGATCGTGCCCATCATCCCTGCATGTGCCTGTCATCCTGGCACGCTGGGGGGCGGGGAAAGATGGAGGCGATCATGGGTGCACTGGGGGAGAGAGAGATGGGCGTGAATGAGGCACGCTGGGGGAGGGAGAGACGGGCGTGATCTCGGCCATCTCCCCACTCGGGGGGGGTGGGGAGATGGCCACGATCATGCTGGTTGGGGGGGTGAGATGGCCAAGGTTGCACCCGTCTTTCCTGCAGGAGCGCACCTGTGATCACGCAAGTCTACCCTGCATGAACGCAACTGCGATCATGGCCATCTCTCCACTCGGGGGGTGGGGAGATGGCCGTGATCTTGGTTGCCACCCAACGCGGAGTTTGCGACCCACGTCAAAATTTTCATGAAATTTTTGTTCGCAACCTGATTGGGTTGTGAACCAAGGCATTCATGAGCCGAGGCACCACTGTACTGTTAGATGAGGTTTCTGTCCACTTTTTCTGTTCTTATTACACTGGGTAAGATCCGACATCATGTGAGCAGGCTGGCAATACCACAGGACTTTACCCACCTTCCCCTATGCCTTCTCCAAATTTGTTCTGGGTAGTCCTCAGCCCTCTGAAGCAAACATTCAAGGTTGTGGAAGGCTATCACTCCCATTTTTCCATTCTGTTTCTGGGAGCTGTTTTGTTGGCAACAAGAGTTAATGGGAGCAGTTGGCTACTGTTGTACCAGAGCTTGAATGATCGCTGACCCTTACCACTTGTTCTGCCCAGGAACGATCCTCCTATTTGGAATACCAAAAGGTCATGCGAGAGATAGAACATCTGAGCCGTCTGTATGTTGCATACCAGTTTGGATTAGCTGAAAAAACCAAGGCACATTCTGCTGATGTGCTAAAGGAAATGGAAGGCAATATTTCAAAACTTCAAGAAGAGATGATTGCAAATGAAGAGAAGGTGAAGGAACTTGGCAAAGAAATAGCAGAAATGGAAAAGAAAAGGGATCAGGTAAGACCATTGAGCTATTAAACTATTTTTAGAAGGGTGCTAATACAAGGCATAATAATCATGTTGACTTGGATTTAAAATGGAGAATTCCTATGTATAGATTCTGTAATATTGAATATTCATTTCTTTATAACTTGAGAATTGCAGTAGTTCGTTTGAAAGAGCAGCAGTGAATCAGAATATGCACCACATGACTATAGATCAGCTGTAGCTTGTAAGGTTGTATGGTTTGTGGTTTAAGGCTCGCACTTCAATCCTGGTGTTTCTGCTTCAGGACCCCTGGAAAATGGAAGGCTAGATTGCCGAATTTAAGATGAAGCCGTCTTAATATAAGAAACCATTCTAGTCTTGGTTCTTGCAGAAGTCTGAGAACATCTCATTTTTCTAGTGCAAGGGAAAGAAAATCTTAAAGCATGAGGTCATGAACATGTGATGTTTTTGGCTGTAAGTGGGACCGTTCCTGTGAAGCAAAATGCTAATTAGTATTTGAAATAATTTCAAGGGACAGCTTGTTTATGCCTCTATTGACACTAGATTCATCCAAATCATTAAGCTTTCAGTAACAAATAAGACACTTTTTCCCTTAATCCCTGTTCCTCCAAGGATCCAGGGACTCTTTCAGAGAGTGAATGTTGCAGATCCTCCCCTCCCCTCCCCTCTCTGGTGGTGCTGATGTAAAGTTTTCAGAAAAAGCAGACAGGTGGTCTTGGAAGCAGACTTGCAGATACTTTGATGTGTATTTATAGGAATTAGGTGGTGTACTTCATTCATTGGAAGAAGCACTTGCAGAAGTTCAGAGAACTGACACCAAAGTGCAAAGTACCCTTGATATCAAAATGCAAAACTTGCAAAGTGAAGAGAAGAAGCAGAAAGAGCTGGTGAAATGCATGGAAGAGGTAAGCAAAGAGCTTTCATTCTCTTTGTTCACTACTTCGCTTGGAATAGCAGCCCTCTCCCCCCTAGCTGCTGTTGAATGCCTCCTCCATTTCAAAAATGTTCAGCCACAGAGGGCTGGGCTGGAGGTTGCCATGTGGAATGCCAAGACAGTGGCCCATGATGCAGTTGGCCATGGTGAGTATTGTGCCATGTACAGATGGCCAGAGTAGTTCACACTTCCTGTCCAGCATGGAGCTGCCTTTTGTCATTGCACTGAGCTTTAGAGGAAGAAAGGAGGATCCCTGCCCAGATCCAGACTGGAAAGGAAATCTGAGGCTCTTCTAGCTCTCAGAGCTGCCTTTCCCCATCAACACCGAGATGAGCCACAGCCCTTCTCCCCAGCTCCAAGGGGCAAAGTTAACATTTTTCCTGTGGGCAATGGATAGCAGAGATGCCCTGAGCACTCCGGCTGCCTGGCACCAATGCAAGGCCCCACTCCCCATCTCCACTTCCAAATTCGGAGACTCCCGGAAATGGCACAGGCCCTCAGCCCCATCAAGAAGCTTGTGGGTGAAAGGAATTGTCATGCACAGGCATAGCATGAAGTTGGAAACCAGTAACACAATCCTAGGCATGTCTACGTGGAAGTAAGACCCACTTGAGTTCCATTGGGCTTACCCCCTAAGAATACAAGAATAAGTTTTACTGAATGCCACTTCTGAGGAGGTCTTTAGGAGGGCAAAATCCTGGCAACCACACATTCTAGCTTGTCTATCGAGGCTCTTGGATGCACAGTTCAACTTGTGTCAGTCTTTGGATCCTATTTGCAGTTAGAACCAAATCATAAAGATTATGTGGTAGTGCTGCAGTTTAGGCAGGAAAACCGTCGTTTTTGTATATAGGTTTTCTGCTCACCTTTCTGATTAAGCCCAACCATGTGGGCTTCTGAGCACATGGACCACTCATACTTGTGTAACCTGGTTTCTTCTTTCAGGTTTTTAAAAATGATCTCAAATATTTCTCATAGGATTCTAAAGCTTTGGCTTCCAAGGAAAAAGAAGTCAAGAAGATCAGTGATGTGCTGAGCACTCTTCAAGAGGCCAGTAATAAGGACGCGGAGGCATTGGCCGCTGCACAGCAGCACTTCAAAGCTGTATCTGCTGGTCTGTCCAGCAACGAAGACGGTGAAGATGCTACTCTCGCTGAACAGATAATGGCTTGCAAGAATGATATAAGCAAAGCAGAAACAGAAGCAAAACAGGTGAGGGATCAGTAGTTGCATCTCTTGCGGGTGCAGTCTTCTGTCGACCTAAAGACTAAGAGATTTACTGGGGGCATGGGCTCTTGTACGAGTGCACATGAAAGCAGCAGGGACTTCCGAACATGAAGAGCTGTGCCGGATCAGACTAATCTAGCACTGTGTTCACACAGTGGCCGACCAGCTGCCACAAGAAACCACGAGCAGGGCCAGCTGCCTCTTCAGGCTCTCTCATTTAACCCCAAAATACTTGGTTACTTTTGGGGAAGAGCATTTTAATATGTTAAATGTGCAAACTGAGCAAACTGAATTGTTCTCTAAAAGGACTGGAAACAGAAAAGTGCCTTTTTAGAAGGTGGAAATGTGTATCCTATCTCATGATCTCCCCTGATAGCATTTCAGGACAGGGACTGGAATATTTCAGAGACTTCAGTCCAGTTAATGAGAATTGATTTAATGCACTGTCATGGGTGAATTAAACTACAAGGGAGTGTAACTCCCTCTGGCACATTTATCACTTCTTTTTCAGTTAGCAACCTACAACTGCTTTATTAGTGAGTTCTTAATGTGACAT